AAGAAGAGAGTCAACGCAATTTTTAAAAATGAACAAAAGAGCTGAACAGATAGTTTAGAGAAGATAAATGAATGGCCAATAAGCCCATGAAAAGGTGTGTAATATCATATTCCTCAAGGAAATTAGAACTGAAATCACGAAATACCACTACCGTCCATTAGATTACCTAAATTAAAAAGTTGACAATATCAAGTGTTGGTGAGGAAATAGAGCAACTAGAACTCTCATACACTACTGGCAGGAATGAAAATGGTACAAACACTTTTAAAACAGTTCCATAGTTTCATATAAAGTTACACATACACTTTGCATATGAACCAGAAATTTTACTCCTAGGAAATTAACCAAGAGAAATGAAAATATATGCCTACACAAACACTTCTTACATGAATGTTCCTAATAGCTTTATTTATAATGGTCCCCAAACTGAAAACAATCCAAATATCTATCAACAAGGGAATGGATAAACAAATTTTGGCATATCCATAGAATGGGTAAACAATAAAACAAACAAAAGAACTCCAGGTATATTCAACAAGAGTCAATTGATCAGCATGATTTGAAGTTTTGATGAGTCACCAACATCATGATGAATGAAAGAAGCCAGAAGGCAGACATAGAACAGTACATACAGTTCGAGTCCATTCACATACTACTTTAGAAAAAATCAAGAATAAATCAGTGGTTGCCTAGGGCAGGGGTGAAACAGCAAAAGGAAGCTCTTTGAGGTAAAGAGAATCTATATCTTGATTGCTGTGGTTTGTTAATACTCATCAAACTGTATACTTAAAATGAGTGCATTTCATTGAACATAATGTCTAACAATAAGGATGACAACTTTAAAAAAATTTTGGCTTGAGCAACCAGAAGGATGGATTGTTTGTAGCTGAGATATGAAAGACTTTAACAGAGCAATTTTTTGCAAAGAAAGAGAAAAATTTGCATTTTAGACATATTAATCTTGTGATGTCTTTAGACAACCGAATGCATATGATTGGAAATTACTTGGATATTTATGTCTGAAGCTCAGGAGAGATGTCTATACTGGAAACTGAAATTTGAGAGTTGACACCATGCCAGTGGTATGTAAAGCCATGAAACTGAATGAGATCACCAGGAGACTGAATTAAATGTCTGAACTCTGGAGCAATCATCTCTAAATATAAACACAGATCAATTATAAACACTATGCTATATTCATACTAATTGCTTCTGGTCCATTTATTCATAAGTACCTTCCGGTTGGTATGAACTTGTGCTATACAAGTGGTTAAATAATTGGACTATCACTCCTGAGGTTAAGGAGACCCAAACCACTTCAAAAACCGTGAATGGCATGTTCATTGTTGTTTAAGCATGCCTCTAGAGTGCCTTTCCAATTCCCACTCCTCCTTCTTTAAATTCTAAGTGCTTCTCAAACTATTCCTCCCAAACACAAAGGGCACTCACTCTGAGACAAGTTCTCTTAGGTACAATTTTCTCCATTTTTCTGTATTTCATTTAATGACTTTAATACTAGCAATTTAGCTAGCCATTTAGGATCTCAATCAAATCCAGTGTTGACTACTTTATTTCAAATAAAATGTTAAATTACGATAATTTTATATTTATAGAATCATAAATAATGAAGTTCTATCACAATAATAATGGTAAGAACCATACGATTCCATTTTTTCCCCTATAGAAAATATGTCCAATGATACATATTCTGCTGGATAGCTCTGATTTGTCCCAGAAGATCCCCTCTCTATCCCTCTCAACCTTGTTTTTTTCTCATGAAGGTGATTGGTATAGCTATCAAAGAGTTCCCTTGACCTCTGGCTTCCCACAAATGATTGGAGAGAAGGAATGAACGTCTTCCTTCCTGTGGCTGGATTCAGGATGGCTGTATCCCTCCAGTGAAGGCCACTGAGCCTCTCAAGAATGTCTTAAGTACATGACTCTCTCCTCTGGGTACTAATAATTGCTCCCTTCAGTTGGGGTGATAACAGATTGATGGTTACTAGATGTATACATCCTGCGACGGTCCTGCACCCCATATTTGTAAAAGCTTTTTTTTCTTAAGCCCTCCTCAAATTATCCTACTTAGAGTATGCTAAATAGGACCCTGACTGATAATGAATTTTTCTTTTGAGATATTTCTGCGACATTAAAAGAGAAACGTCCCTAGAGAAATGGTTGACTCTAGGACCGACACAGGAAAAGTACAAGATGAGCTTTGAGCATCTTGGAGCTCCAGAAAGTAAAAAAATGCTAAACACAAAGCAAAACAAAATTAATGGGGATATGTCAAAGGGATAAAGGGTCAACTGAAAAAGCTCTCAAAAGCCAGAGCTAGAAGAATCTGGACAACAAAAAAAGTAGTATTGGGTTTATAACATAAAATATAAAAGAAAGATCCATGAGTCGATAGAGATATAAATAAATACACAAATAATACATAAATAAATACAGGAATAAATAAATAACAAGATACAAATCTCCCAGAGAGAAGAATTCCAAATAATTCATTTACCCTTAAAGAGGTGGAGCACAGCCTCCCGATCCTTGAGTGTGGGCTACACATAGTGACCTGAACTTCTTCCAAAGAGCACAGGAAGGAAAGGGAAATGAAAAGAACAACTTTACAGCAAAGCAACCTGAGCAACGCTCTTCAAGCCAGGCATCAGGGTCATGCGAAGAGCGAGAAGTCATGTTGACAGGATGCACCCTTGATGTAACGTGATGAAAACAGCACTTTACTTCTACTGTCTTCCTCCCAAAAACACATCACCCCAGTCTAATCAGGAGAAAAACACCCAAAAAGTCCTAATTGAGCGACCTTCTACAAAATACCTGACACGTACTACTCAAAACTGTGAAGGTCATCAAAAACAAGAAAAGTATGAGAACGTGCCACAGCCAAAAGGAAGCTGAGGAGACGTGACTACTAAATGCAGTCTCGTACCCTGGATGGGCCCCTGGGATAGAAAAAGGACATCAGGGAAAACTAAGGAAATATGAATAAAGTACGGCCTTTAGTCAATAATAACGGACCAGTGTTGGTCCATTAATCGTGACAAATGTACTAATGCAAGATGCTAATAACAGGGGAAAATGAATGTGAGGTGCAAAGGAACTTTACATAGAGTATTCATAATAAACCTACTAAAACTACACTAAAATAAAAAGTATTTTAGAAAAAGAAACTGACTTTAATTTTAGCAAGTTACTGTTCAACCAAAGACAACGCCATCATAAAAAATGAAACACTATAAATCACTTTAAAATCATCTGGAATCTAAAATTTCAATTATTAGTGTATGATGTAATTGGGGAAATTATTTGAAACTTTTACCACAGACCAGGTGATAATAATAAATATGTAAACAGCTCCAAGAGAAAAAAGAAAGACCTACCAGCTTGACAGGAAAACAGACAAGATATAAGAATAGAATGGTCCAGTAAATTAAAATGACCATTAACACAGAAAAAGATGAATATCTCACTCATATTGAGAGAAACACAAATTCAAACTACACTAAAATATAGAGCTAACTGAAAAAGCTCCCAGCAACCACCTCACACTGTCAGATAGGCAAAAATCTAAAATCATGACAACACACTGTTGACAAGGCTATGGAGAAACAGGCACTCTCACACGTTGGTTCGAAATGCAGAATGGAGGGAAATTTGGCATATATGGCAAAATTACACTGACTTTATTCTCCAATTCAGAAATCCTATTCAGAAAGATACACTGGCCAAAATAGTATAAGACTGATTCCCAAGGGGATTTATTGTGGCAATATTTGCAACAGCAAAAGACTGAAAAAAACTCAAATGTCTATCAGTAAAGGGACTGAATGAACATGTCCTGCTGAACCCCCACAACAGAATATTATGCAGCTTACAGATGAATGAGAATGAATTCCCTACACAACACAGAGGGAACTCCAGGATATGGTTTTAAGTGAAAACCAAGGAACAGAGCAGTATCTACAGTAGGCTGCTGAGTATAAGAAGGAGGTGGAATATCAAGCAGGTGCATATGTATGTGGACACACACGCGCTCTTTGAAAATGCGTTTCATGGTTTCAACCCAAGATAGACTGAGCTTCAAGGTAATAAAGTCCAAGCCCCGGGCCCTCTTACTTTGAGCAGCCCCTCTAAGATTTAGGGAGGCTTCTAGCAATGTGTTCTCATGATCAAACACTCTTGTAAATTTTTTAAAGAAAATTATTGTTCCACTATTGTGCTTAAAGAGTGATACCAAAATAGCATAAGCTTCAGGCTCCACTAAATTTTATTTGATCTATGGTTTTCAACTTTGGAATCATGTAAATGCTTTACATGGCCAAAACCCAAAAATAAATGAAAAAGAAAAACAAGCCAATAAAATTTCAATTATAATTTGATCAACCCACAACCTTCATTCTGGAACACTAGTGAAAAGCAAAACATCAAAATTAAAATTGTCAATATAAGAATGTAACTCTATTTCCCCATCTTCCCCAAAGCACCTTTTACCTACTAAGCAACTAATGAAAAATTGTGAATCCCTTTACTAACCTCTTAATTGATATTCAAATTTGATTTTTAAATAGATTGCACTTCTTCATAATCAATCTTAGGCACGCACTACAGGTAGGAAGTGTGATGTATGGAGGAAAAAGAATACTGGACTAGGCCTCTCTAGTCCAGGATCTGCCCCTTAGATATACGGATAATTTTGCCAAGTCATTAAACCTCTCAGACCTTGTATTTTCTCAATTGTAAAACTGACAAATTAAAATGCAAGCAAAGTGCTTTGCTTTATGTGTCATTCTCATTAATATGTCTGATGTGACTTTCTTTTCCCATAAGAAAGTGATTTTTTCCAAGGTAATAAATTCTCAAACATCATGTATGAGGACCTAAAACATAATTCTGAACTGGTGAGGAGAGCATCACCATCACAGACTATAAAAAGAGACCCCATTTGTGTCCATGTCAAAGAGTGTAATACTGATGTTGCTTACCTCGGATTCTTCAGTGATGAGGAAGCTGGTCTCTCTGCTGCTCAGGCTCTGCCGACAGCACCATGGGGAAGACAGAGTGCTGTTAATGACGCAAGTGCGGAGTATGCAACTGTCAACAACAAAAACTCTAGGTTCTCTACGCAGAAATACTAAACCTGCAACTCATGGGAGCCATGTTACACTTGAAATTGAAAGCAAAACTGCATGTATATGTGTTTATAAGTGTGTGTATGTGTTCATGCATGTGTGGGTGTATATATGTGTGTGTATGCATGTGTGTATGTGTGAAGAGAGAAGCTTGAGAGAGAATGAGAATTTTGGAGGCAGCTTTATCAAATCATAAAAAAAAACACACACACAAAAGAAATACTTAAGCACTACTACATTACAGAGAAATAACAGGGAGCTCCATTCTTTGAATGATGCTGAATCCTGAACAGGACCAAAAGGGCAGAATTAATTGGCTATTTTAGGCCTTCCATAACTTTTTGAAATTACTAAAGTGAATATCTTGGAAAAATGCACCACCAGGATTCTTAAGGATTTATACTTACAACCCAAGAAAGAAAGCCATACGTGGATATAAATACACATGAGCCACTTATAATTAAAGCAACAGTGATGCTTCCCTTGGTGTACAGGGGACTTTAAATCCACACATCCCACGACAGACCGCATACTGCAGCACAGGCTCCTGAGACCATAGCCAATCACTTCTCAGCAATCTCTAGTGACAGGGACAGTGGGTGCCAGGGAGAGGCGGTAGCTGGCAGAAATGACCTCAAACTCGTGTCCAGACTGGGAGTTCACCTACCTGGTTCTTGGAAAGTCACAAACAGCCTCTCATTATACCCAGGTGATGCTGGGCAGACCAGTTTTGAAAACAGGAGATAAAATGTGCTATGGATATATTTAAAAAGAGCTCACAGGGCACCTTGGAAATATACTCAATGCTACAAAAAGAAGCAGAATGTGCCACAGCAAAAGCAGTAACTCATCCACGCTCCTAAGGAGGATGAGGAAGCGAGCATTGAACACACATCAAACTTCTTACCACTGTATTCAATATGAATTCCATAAAAAGATGAATGTCATCTAACGTATTTAAGTTATACTGAAACAGAAGGAAGAGTTGTGGGAAGCTGAGAGTCTATGATTAAATATATGCTCAAAATCCTATTTCACTGTTACGTGATGCTATCTACCTGTGGACCTTGAATGAATTCCATTAACTCTTCTAAATACATCAGATATCAAAGAAGGCTAATGAATATCTTGATCACTCAATTCTGAAATAGAAGCTTCTGATCTGTATTTCTGCGTTTAAAACAATATACAAATTTATTATAGATTCACTTTATACTGACTCTTCATTACATAATTTTTTCCACTACGCTGGAGAACAGTCAGTCGTCGCACTTCTAGAAGGACGCAAGAATACCATATATTAAAGGTTCCAAAAGCAACCAGGCTAGTCACTTTACAATCTCTCGCTTTAGGAAAACTGAGTTTGCTGTGACTTTCTAGTCAAAAACTGTGGTTATATCTTCAGTTTGCAAAATGTAAAATGAAATAACACAGGTTTCTTCATGCTTTCTGTTGAGTACTTGCCACATCTCATTTCTCACTGACCTTAATCTCAGGCAAAAGGAGCATCAGCGCTGTTCCCAATTCTACACGCCCCTCTCCAGGGGTCCTGGCTTTTAGATCTCAGGTGCCTCTTTCCCTGACCCCAAGCATTAAGGAATTGAATGAAGCGGTACAAAACGGAATGAAATGAACGAATGATATAAACTCTCACTAGCAAGAAAACATGGCAATATTCAGAAGATCTATAAATCATCATAGAAACTGAGTAGCCACCTTGAATATTCTAAACATAAGTAGCAATGATCTGGAGACTGAAATTCAGAAGAAAATACTCGTAGGCAGGGTTCTTAGAACAGCATTCTTAAAGAAATAATACTGTAGAGTGCTTAAGAGAGCATGCTCCAGAATAAGAGTGTCTGGGTTCAGAACCCCAGGACCAAGACATTATAGGTATAACAATAAACCAATTTATATATTCTCAGTTTATAGGCTCCTCATAACCTTCTTCTTTGATTATGCAAAACGAATTACTCCATATATGTAATCTCAAGCAAGTTAACTTCTCTATGTCACAATTCCTGTACAGTGACATTAAATAAGATAAACGCATGAGAAGCTCTCAATAAATGTCGGCTTTTTAAAATTAATTTTTGCTTAATTTCTAGTGATCATAAGTTTAATATATTTATTATATCATAAATTTTTAATTCACATAAGATACTTTGAAAGTATAAACCAATTTTTAAGTAATGAGCCTGGAATTTCTACACATTCTTCCATCTTGTAAAAGGCCCAAACATTCATCATAACTATAAATTTGCTAATGGGCCAAATCAAACTATTCTAGTCATCTCTGCCTCAATCCAAAGCGTGAATGAATTTTCTGTTATCAACGCCTTTTTTGAAAAATTGACTGCAGTGTAGAGTTTGTGTTTTTACAGCATTTGAGCGTCAGTAAAAGAAAATCAAGACGGCGTTGAGGAAAGTTAAATAAGTTGTATCCAATTTATTTTTTTTTACTTTTCGTTTTGAAATAATTATAAATTCACAGGAATTTGCAAAGATAGTACAAAGAGATCCCATGTACCCCTCCAACCAGTTTCTCTGAATGGTTACACCCTACATAACTATAGCAGCATGTCAAAACCAGGAAACCGATACGAGTACAATGCGTGTGTGTCATTCTATGCCATTGTATCACGTGCACATTCGAGGAAGAACCAGCCCAATTAAGCTAGGGAGCTGTTCCATCCGCAAAGATCTCCCTCAGGCGACCCTTTAACATTATGTCTACTTTCCTCCTCCTCAACACGCATAACCCCTAGCAACCACTAATTTGTTTTTCATCTCTGTAATATTGTCATTTCACTGAAAATAGAATCATACAGCATGTGGTCTTTTGAGATTTTGTTTTTCCACTCAGTACAATGTCCTGGAGGTCAATCCAAGTTGTGCATATCAGTAGTTTGTTACTTTTTATTGGTGGGTAGTATTCCACGGTGAGGCTGTGCCAGTTTATTTATCCAGTCACCTACTGTATGACATCTGGGTTGTTCCCATTCTTGGCTCCTACAAATAAAGCTGCTAAGCACAGGTTTTTGTGTGAATATAAGTTTTCACTTCTGTGGGCTAAATGCCCAAGAGTGTGATAACTAAGTCACATGGTATGTATATGTTTAGTTTTTAAAGAAACTGTACCATTTTACATTCCCACCAGCACTGTATGAGAGACCCAGTTTCTCTGCATCCTCACCAGTATTTGGTATAGTCACTATTTTCCATGTTAGTGGTTCTAACAGGAGAATAGTGATATCTTACTGTGGTCTTATTTGCAATTTTCTAATGGCCAGTGATACTGAACATCTTTTTATGTACAGTCATGTGTCACTTATCGAAGGGAAAACATTCTGAGAAATGCTTTGTTAGGCAATTTTGTCACTGAGTGAACATCAGAGAATGTACTGAAGGGGAACAAAATTTGCCACCCCAAAATGTGTCTCTTTAACATGAGGATTATTTTAGGCTGATTATTTTTAAGAAATCAAAGACTCTGAAAGTTTTTCTTGTTACCTCCCATTAACTGCCTAAAACAATCCAGATTAAAAGAACTTGACTCAGGAAGTGAGCTATCACCTTAGCATGATATGAATTAGCGGTAGGCGGGGAAGAACCTGGAAAAGCCTGTTTGTTGGGCTCCCCTCTGTGTTCTTCTGTTTCTGGTTGGCCAAATACTTGTTTTCAAACATTTGCTCCTTTTCGCCTACCAATGAATTGCCTTCCTTCTCTTTGAAGTCCCAGACATTCCCTAGCTCCAACATCTTCTTTTGTCTGTAGCTGAGGATGGTATCTACGGTGAGAGTTTTCGCCATTCCAGTGAAACGTTTTCCTGGGTTTCACCCATGTATACATGTTTTAAACTTCTGTGTGTTTTCCTCCTGTTAATCTGTCTCATGTCAATTTAATTCTTAGACCAGCCAGGAGACCCTAGGAGGGTAAAGGAAACTTTTTTCCTTCCCTACATTACTCACACAAACCTAGATGGTATAGCCTGTTACATATCAAGGCTACATGGTACTAATCTTCTGGGACCACCATCATACATGCGGTCCATTGTTGACTGAAACATCATTATGCAGCAAATGACTGTATTTATTTGCCATCCATATATCATCATTAGGGAAATATCTCAGTATGTATTTTGCCTATTTGGGTTGGCTGTTTTTCATTTTTTTTATTTTTCTAAAGACTGACACCTAAGCTAACAACTGTTGCTAATCTTTTTTTTTTTTTTTTTTTCTGCTTTACCTCCCCAAATCCCCCCGGTACATAGTTGTATATTCTAGTTGTAGGTCCTCCTGGTTGTGCTATGTGGACGCCGCCTCAACGTGGCCTGAGGAGCAGTGTCACGTCCGCACCCAGGATCTGAACCAGCAAAACCCCGGGCTGCCGCAGCGGAGCCCGCAAACTTAACCACTTGCCCACGGGGCCGGCCCCTGGGTTGGCTGTTTTTTAATATTAGGTTTTGCCATTTCTTTATCTACCATAGAGACTAGTCCTTTGTCAGATATGTGATGTGCAAATATTTCCTCCCAGTCCGAAGCTTGTCTGTTCCTCTTAATAGAATCTTTCACAGAACAAAAGTTCTTAAATTTGATAAAGGCTGATTTATCAATCTTTTCTTTTATGGATCATACCTTTTGTGTCATGTATAAGAATTTTCCACCAAGATCTAGTTTCCAAAGATTTTCTCCTATTTTTTGCTCAAAAAGTTTTATAGTTTTATGGTTTACATTTAAATCTATGATCAATGTTGAATTAACTTTTGTACAAGGTGTGAAGTTTAGGTCGAAGTTCATAATTTTGCCTATGGATTTGGATATCCAAATGTGCCAGTACCATTTGTCGAAAAGACTATCCTTCCTCCATGGAATTGCTTTTGCACATTTGTCCAAAAAAAA